CTATAGAATAAAGCATGAAGTACATTACCTGAAATCTGGAAAGCAGTAACGTTTGCCAGGTAAATGCCTGTTAGATGTGCTCAGGTACTTGATGAAATGTATATCTCTATTGGGTGAATTGGCGAGTTGCATTTTAATGAGTTGCTAATGCATGCAGGTAAGCTTCCCAACACCTACAGTGCAAAACATCAATCCACATTTCAAGTCCATGGAACATAATTGCAGAAGTTTTCCCACCAGTGAGACCTAACCTTTGGACTGTTGCCCAATTACATTTACTAATTTGTCACTCTTCTCCCCTCCTCCAGGATGGGAAGATTCTCCTAAAGAAACAGAAGATGTACCTATGAGTAAGTCTCTAGCTTAAGTGAGAAAGCGAAGCCAAAAGAAAAGGAAACAAAATGGGACAGCGTTTAAGGGTATAATTTGATGAACTCAGTGTTGAATTCTGCAGGCTGTAAAGTGTCTAATCAAAAGATGAGAAACAATTGCTAAAGCTTCCATTGAGTCTGACTGGAGCCACTTCACTGGGAACAGCTGAAAGTCTGATGACAGATGAACGTTGGAATAAACACACAGAAATGATGCCACTTGGAGTAATACAGAGAAGATAAAGGCCATCTTCACTGTAATGCAACAGAGGCCAAGGCCAGAGGTTCTCCCATGGCCTCCTTTGATAGCAGAGCCAGCCCATGTACATTCCTCTTCTCGGATCTCCCTTTGTTCAATCACTTCTCCTTCTAGTGTTGGTCTGGCTCAATTCTTACCTTTAGTTCAGAAGATCATAAGTTCTGAGTTGCACGGTAGAGACTTCAGGGCAAAGTTCAAGTTGACAGAACAGAGGGAGAGCTCCACTGTTGGAGGTGCTGGCTTTCAGATTGCCCTATGGTACCATTTGAAGGCGAGTAAGGAAACATTCCCTTGTAATGTAACCAAAATTGATTCCACAACCAATATCAGCAGAAATGAATTCACTGGCTACATACCCAGACGCCTTAAAGCTCTTCCTTGTCCTGCAATGTTGATGGCAATTCCAAAGTCCTGGAAGGGTGCTGAAATGGCCAGAGACTAAGGAAAGTGTTGTGTAAATACAATGCCTTCTGTAAGTAAAATAAAACATTGTCTTGAAAAGAAATTGAAGAGGAATGTGTCAATGTAGCCCAGAATTCTAGAGGAACAGTCCAGGACAGAGATTTCTACTTCCCAAGGCAATGAGCAGTAAATTGTAGCAAACTCAACAAATACTGAAACACAGCAAAAATACCTGCCCAATTCACCTGATGCTAGCTCCCACCAGCAGGATTTGTGATATAAGGAGAGATTGAGGAGTCTGGATCTGTACGCTCTAGAGTTTAGAAGAATGAAAGGTGATTTAGTTGAAATCCATAAAATTCTTACAGGGCCTGACAGAGTTGATGCAGGAAGGATGTTTCCCCTGATTTGGAGGTGGGATTGGGGATGGTGAGGGGGCATGGCGGTGGTTGGTGAGATCTAGAACCAGGGAACACAATCTCAGAATATAAGGCAAGCCATGTAGGACTGACATGAAGAGGAATTTCTTCACTCAGAAGATGGTTAATGTTTGAAATTCTCTACCCTAGAGAACTATGGAAGTCATTCAATCTGTTTAAGATGGAAACCAATAGATTTCAATTCATCAAAAATATCAAGGGACATGGGGAGTGTACAGAAAATAGTATTGAGGTGGAAGATCAGCCAAAATCCAGATGCAGGATCCAGCAAGCTTGATGGGCTGAGTGGCCTAATCTTGCTCATATTTCCTACATTTTTATGACATATGTGATCAGGAAACTGCCTCTAATATTTACCCTCAAGGTTCTTGAGGTACTCAGCTGCTCTAGGACCAGCAGACAGCTCTAAGCCAGTGTCATCCTGGGGTTGAGCGACTCCCTGCAATCAGCAGGACCTGTCCATGATGCCTGCAGGAAAGAAATCCTTGCATTTGTATATTGTTTTTCTCTGCCTCAGGCTGCCTGCTCATGATTTTCAAAATCTCTATCAGATCGCCTCTCAGCTTTCTTCTCTCCAAGGAGAATAGTCCCACCTTCTTCGATCTATCCTCAAAACTGAAGTTTCTCATTCCTGGAACCATTCTTGTAAATCACTTCTACACTCCCTCCAACACATTCATATCCTTCTTCAAATGCAACACCCACAACTGCACACAATACTTCAGCTGAGGTCTAACAAGTTTCTTATGCTAGTTCCACATCACCTCCTTCCTCTACTACTCCATACCTCAATTCTTAAAGCTGAGAATATTGGATGTCTTATTCACTGCTCTCTTAACCTGTGCTGCTACCTTTAATGATCTGTGCACATACATTCAGGTCCCTCTGCTCCTGCACTGCCTTTAGAATTGTATCGTCTATTTTATATTGTTTTTCAAGGTTCTTCTGACTAAAGTGCCTCACCTCATATTTCTCCTGCATTGAACCTCATCTGTCATCTGTCAAACCACTCCACCAACTTTTCAATTGTTTTTCTAATGTTCTGCGCTGTCCTACTTTCTGTGTACAATTCTTCCAAGTTTCCTGTATAGAGTCATGGAGTCATACAGCTTGGAAAAAGACCCTTTGGCCCAACTAATCCATGCTGATAATAATCCCAAACTAAACTAGTCTTACCTGCCTGCACCTGGCCCTTATCACTCCAAACCTTTCCTATTCATGTACTTATCCAAATGTCTTTTAAATGTTGTAATTGTACTCACTTCCTCAGGAAGCTCATTCCACACACGAACCACCCTCTGTGTAAAAAAATTGTCCCTCCTGCCTTATTTAAATTTCTCTCTTCTCACCTTAAAAACCTCCCCCCTAGTCATCCCCGTAAGCAAAGATCCAGGTCACTAATACAGCAAGGGTCTTAGTAGTGACCCCTGGGGAATTCCAGAACAAGCCCTGCCCCAGGCTGAAAAACATATGTTGACCATGATTAAAGGGTGTAGAGCTGGATGAACACAGCAGGCCAGGCAGCATCAGAGGAGCAGGAAAGCTGACGTTTTGGGTCTGGACCCTTCTTCAGAAATGGGGGAGGGGAAGGGGATTCTGAAATAAATAGAGAGGCGGGGGAGGCGGATGGAAGGTGGATAAAGGAGCAGATAGGTGGAGAGGAGACGGACAGGTCAAGGAGGAAGGGATGGAGCCAGTAAAGGTGAGTGTAGGTGGGGAGTTAGGATGGGAGTTTGTCAGTCAAGGGAAGACAGATAGTTCAAGGAGGCGGGGATGTGGCTGGTAGGTAGGAGGTGAGGGTAGGGGTGGGGGTTGATCAGTGAGGTGGGAGGAGCGGATAGGTGGGAAAAAAGGCAGACAGGTCGAGGAGGCGGGGACGAGCTGGGCTGGTTTTGGGAAGAGGTCGGGGGTGGGGAGATTTTGAAGCTTGTGAAGTCCACATTGAGACCATTGCGCTGCAGGGTTCCCAAGCGAAATAATGAGGTGCTGTTCCTGCAATCTTCAGGTGCCATCGTTGTGGCACTGGAAGAGGCCCAGGATGGACATGTTGTCCAAGGAGTGGGAGGAGGAGTTGAAGTGGTTCGCGACTGGGAGGTGCAGTCGTTTGTCACAAACTGAGTGTAGGTGTTCCACAAAGCGGTCTCCGAACCTCCGTTTGGTTTCCCGGATGTAGAGCAGGCCACATCGGGAACAGTGGATACAGTATACCACATTAGCAGATGTGCAGGTGAACATCTGCTTGATGTGGAAGGTCTTCTTTGGCCTGGGATGGGGGTGAGGGGGGAAGGTGTAGGGGCAGGTGTAGCACTTCCTGCAGTTGCAGGAAAAAGTGCCGGAGGTGGTGGGGCTGGTGGGGAGTGTGGAGAGGACAAGGGAGCCACGGAGAGAGTGATCCCTCCGGAAAGCAGATAAGGCTGGGGAGGGAAAAATGTCTTTGGTGGTGGGGTCGGATTGCAGATGGTGGAAGTGTCAGAGGATGATGCATTGGATCACCCCATCAACCTCCGGATTCAACCTTTACTGGCTCCATCCCCGCTTCCTTGACCTGTCTGTTTCCTCGCCACCTATCTGCTCCTTTATCCACCTTCCATCTGCCTCCCCCCCCTCTCTTTTTTCAGAACCCCCTTCCCCTCCCCCATTTCTGAAGAAGGGTGGGCTGGAAATGTCAGCCTTCCCGCTCCTCTGATGCTGCTTGGCCTGCTGTGTTCATCCAGCTCCACAATTTGTCATCTCAGATTCTCCAGCATCGGCAGGTCCTACTATCTCTTTGACCATGATTCTCTGTTTCCTGCCACTCCACCAATGTTGGACTTGCCTTGCTCCTGACGTTACTATTTGAGGTCAAAGCAAAATTCAAAATGTGATGGGTCAGATTACCTACTACCTGGGAAGGGATAAAGAGGACTTCCAGGGAACTTGCTGTTGTTAGGCTTAGTCTGTTTTAGTTTGAAAGAGTTGTGACAATGTTACAAACAGCATGTGATGAGATGGTCCCAGTCGAGACTCCAGCCTCACTTCACCCGCAGGTCATTCCATCCCCATGTTTTGGCAGTATCAATACCTGAACCCCTGATTTCCATCGTTAGCGCGGACAGGAATTTACCGTGCACACCAGCAAAGACCGAACAACGAGAGGGAGAGTCGGTACTGAACGTGTAATCAGTCGGAGGCAAGAGGGGATTAAATTGTACAGGGGATGGTATAACTATCCATTCACCCCCCCGCCTCCGGTTGTTACAAACCAAGGGGAGGGGAGATAGGGGCAGTTTAATCTAGTCTCGGGCAAATTTGGGACTGGGGATGTTTGCAATGTGTTGAATAATCCCAAGGATTGCTGCAGACTCAGTCAATGTTCTGAGACTGGCGCCTGCTCATTCACTGGTCAGGGCTGGAGCTGAACAGTTCAGGGGATTGCTGCTGTGTCTCTCAGTTCCCGTTATTTCCCCAGGCAGCCCCTACACGTGGACTGTTAACCGGAGACTCGATCGGTGGATTAAGGCTGTTCCTGCTCCTCACCAGCTCCCCCCTTTCTCTCTCTCCTGGAGAATCAGAAACAACATGAAGTGTCCAGCAAGCTTTTTACTCCTGCTCAGTTTCTGCACCGCGTCTGTGAGTACCTGAAAAAACAAGGGGGAAAGCCCAGAAATATTGACGCTTACCGTTTTATTGCAGGCTGCAATTTGGAAGAAAGGATATTTTATATAAAAAAACAAGAAGTGTAGTTTTCAATTATTTAGGATAACAGCTGGAAAAGATCTTTTTCTCTGTGTCCCATCGTTATTGTTTAAATTCTTTTTTTTCGCTGATAACTTGGAGGTTTTGGAAAGTATCTAAATGTAGTTTTTACAATAAAACCAGGTGTTGGTCGGGTGTTGCTGGAATAAATGAATAGGGGAGGCAGGAGGAGACTCAGTAGGTTGTGGTAGCGGGATCTGTGTGGAGTGGTTTGAGATCGATATGATTTGGCTAGAAATGAATGTCACCGACTGGTGCTTCCAGCCCCCTCTGTCTTTACTATTTGTTCCCCTGGACGCTGCTAACCAAGCGGAAACGGCTGGCCAGAGCTCCGAGTCCAGCCCATGGTCACTGCTTGGAGAGGACAAGGAGTGGTGTGGGCGGGGGGGGGGGGGG